TTTCGTTTCCATTAATTTTCGTTTCTATGAAGTGTTTAGATAACTGTGTGTAGTAGGGTGACTATAATTTACTTAGTTCTATCTAAATTTGAGAAAAAAAAAATGACCTACATAAAAAACTATCAAAATCGATCCAGTATCCGATTCTGATCAAACTACTTTCAGGGTGTGCGTTAATTATGTTACACGTTGTATATGTATAACTCACATTCTCATGTATTACATAGTAATGTTATATAGTTATATGTCCCATTGTATTTGTAGTGATTTTATGTAGGTATTTATTTCTAAGAGAGAAACACGCGTCCGTTCGATAGTGCAGAACTGACGCATAGTAAAAAATGTCCATCCTACCAACGTCATAGTATTATACTTAAATTCATTCTGGATCTCCACACCATACCTTGGTTCATCTGAAATATTATATACAGCATGCATAATTAAATTATTCTTGGACAAAGTTCGGCAAATAATTGATTTTTTTAAATATTTTATGAGTGAATTCTTGAAGTGAAACTTCTTATGCGACTACCAACAAGGTTGCGTTAAACGTTTAACTTAGGGAAAGAAAGATATACAAATGTAGAAAGTAGGAGAGACATTGAGAGTAGATTCCAAGCACATGTGCAATTGTGCATAGTACTGTTGCTTACAGCGAAGTAAACAGTGTGAACGCGACATTAACTGAAACACCAATTTGTATTATATTAATTTATGTATATACATATAATTCATTTCCTCAGTTAGTTGTGGCCTAGTGGTTAAAAGTCCCGCCTCTCATGCATGAGGGCGCGGGTTCGGTCCTGGCAAATACCAATGTGATTTTTCCGAGTCATATGTACTTTATAAGAGTACTAGCTGACCCGGTAGACTTCGTACTGCCTCAATCAAGAAATATCTATTACGTTTTTTATTTATATTTTTGGAGTTTACCTGTAAGCCATAAATCTCCGTGTTTTGAAGTGCGACAGAATGATTGACATATTAGTTAGTTGTCAAATCTAATGTCAAAAAAAACTTTTGTATGGGAAATAGAAAAGGGCTGTTTTTATGGTTTTCCCAGTAATGAATAAATTTTTTTCAGCTTTTATACCTTCCCTGAACCTCCACGAACGTTTCAAGACTAAGATAAGATAAATCCGTTCAGCTGTTCTCGAGTTTTAGCGAGACTAAGGAACAGCAATCCATTTTTATATATACAGGGTGACTGGTGAATTACTATCAATATTTAAGGAGAATACTCGGTACATGATTCTCATTCGAATTATGTAAAAAAAATAGGCACTTAATTTTTGACAAAATTTCCGTATAAATAAATAAAGTGTTGACACGTTCCAAGTGTTCCAAGTGTGGACGCGTGCGGCGGCGTGCTGATACAACACCACGCCCCCTCACGCGTATGTGTGAGTGTGTGTGTGTATACCTAATCTGTAGGGTGTTCACACGATGCGTAATTAATTACATAACTTTTGGTTAACTTTACTTAGAAGTTTATTAATATTTATGTTATATTAATTTTTATTTTGTCATACATGATCGTCAAATATCACGTCCTCAAATATCGATAGTAATTCACCAGTCACCCTGTATAGAAGATAGAAGACTAGTAAACCTGGCGAACTCCGTTTCGCCACCAGAAGGCTTTTATATGTAGAACATTTCGTTTGGTGATTAAAAGATGAAGAATTTTTTGTTTTATATTTGAAAAGGAAAATTTTTATTTCATTTCACAACAGTAATGAATTCGTTTCGATTACAAAAATGAAGTGTTATTTAGTTGAACTTGTCTAAGTAAATGAAAGTGAATCCAAAGTAGATACCGAATCGAAGCGTTATACGTGTCCGCAAATTATCCGTTTCATAGAAGTGCTCCTTTGTAAACCACATTTTTTGTTTTTTGGTCTAACTTTAACACAAATAAAGCGTATGGTTTCCAAGCTCGTGAACACGCAGAATATAACTGCCCATGTGAAAAGCAATGATTTTCTAAATTTATCCCGCAAATACTAAATGGTTTTAAGAGTTCAATCTACAAACACAATACCTAAATATTTTTATTTTTATATAGTAGATTTCTTACAAATATCTAATTGTCATCCATACGTCATTACATATCTGTCATTATACGTCAATTGTGTTATTCCACGTTTTATAGTGACTGACGTTTCATGTCAAGTCCCACGGGAATGCTGTCGAACGGGATAAAAAGTATCCTATTGCAATTTCCTGGTTCTAAACTATCTCCCTGAAAATTTTCAGCTGAATCGGTTCAGCCGTTCTTGGGTTATAAGTGAAGTCACTAACACGACTTTCTTTTATATATATAGATTTAGACATCACTGATTAATGCATTCCAAAAGAGGTTTGACGTCAGTCAGGCGTCCGGTCGTAAAAACAATTAGGCAAAACTATTCACACATCTTAGGCAGACCCTGGCTAAAAGCTGGGAAATTGCCACTAAGAAGAAGATTAGTTTATGCATATACATATAATTTATTTCCCTACTCCACCCACTAAACTATAACGATCACATTCCAGATCAAGCAGCTGTGCCAGGAGCTTGAATAGGCGTACTCCTCTGTGTCATCAGCGGCGGAGGAGCGCGCGGCCCGGCTGGAGGCGGCGCTCAAGGCCCAGCAGTTCCAGCATGATGCAGCGGAAGTCGACTCCTGTCTGGCTGACAAGGCCGCCGCACTGGCTTCGGTGACGTCGGCAATGATAGGCATAGAGCGACGCAACTACTCACACGGCATAAGGTAATATACACATATATACATAGCTAAGAATTACATTTTCGTCATATCACACAATTTTTGAGCTACAAGAAATGATAAATCACTATATACGAGGGGAGGTCAAAAAGTTCGCGGAATGGAGGGGTTGGAGGGGGTTGATTTACTCGTTCAGGTAGTAACTTGTTCAACACCTCATTAATAGTATATATACCAAGTTTGAACCAAATCGGGTCATAAACTTTTGAGTTATTGACCTGCAAACGAGTGAATCGGGAAAAAGTCAGTGAGTAGGGAGAAAATTGAACACCGCGCCGTTATTAAGTTCCTCACCAAGCAAGGAAAATCCGCTCAGACGATTTTTGAAGAGCTGTTATCAGTTTACGCGGACTCTGCCCCTGGTAAAACCATGGTTTACAAGTGGCATGGACTTTTTAAACAAGGAAGAGAGTCCATTGAAGATGACCCCCGCTCTGGACGACCGATTGAGGCCACCACACCGGAAATCGTCGCAAAAGTAGAAAAACTTATATTGGAAGATGCCCGGTTGAAGAAGAAACAACTTGCAGCAATGGTTGGAGTATCGGAAACCAGCATTTTAAATATCCTACATCATCATCTTGGGATGACTAAGGTCAGTGCAAGATGGGTTCCAAGAATGCTCACGCCACTTCAAAAGAGCGAGCGTGTCGAGTGTTCTCGCCAGTTTTTGAAGCTCTGTGGGGAGAATAAGGATGAAGTTACGGACCGGATTGTTACTGGTGATGAAACCTGGGTTCACCACTATGAACCTGAATCGAAGCAAGAATCGATACATTGGCATAAAAAAGGCACAGCTCCTCCAAAGAAGTTTAAAGTGTCACAATCGGCCGGAAAGATCATGGCGACTGTCCTTTGGGATACAGAAGGTATTTTGCTGATCGATTATAAAGATCGTGGTGTGACTATAACGGGACAGTACTACGATTCTTTATTAGATAGATTGAAAGAAGTTATCAAGGAAAAAAGAAGAGGAAAGCTGTCAAAAGGTGTGCTCCTTTTGCACGACAACGCAACAGTCCACACGTGCCATGTTGCGACGGCTGCCATTCACCGATGCGGATTCGAAAAATTACACCACCCACCTTACAGTCTAGACTTAGTCCCCAGCGACTATTATTTGTTTTCAAAAATGAAAAAAAAAGCTGCGTGGAAAAAATTTTGAGAAGTCAAGTCCGCAATTTCGGCCTATTTTGATAGCCAAGATAAATAATTTTTTTCGATGGTATTAATAAATTATTTGTGAGATCCGAAAAATGTATTAAGGTTAAGGGAGGTTATATTGAAAAGGAAAAATAGTTTCGTGTTAAATTTCAACCCCCTTCCCGTTCATTCCGCGAACTTATTGACCTCCCCTCGTATATGTAAGTCATCAAGTGACTTATGAAGTGAAAATTTATCAGTCATTGGGTAGGATCAAATATTTATAAAACATATATTAAAAATAGGGGTTGGTGATAGAAGAGTGATAATTTAGGGTTGTATGTATTTTATAATGCCACATTATGAAAGGTTGTCCAAAAAAATTAAATAAGGTGTTAAAAGTGGGCCGCCCTTATACTTAGGGGTATGAAATGTAGATAGTAGCCAATTGTTAAAATTATTGAATATGCATATAAAGTTTCATAAAAATCGGTTAAGCAGTTTGGCAGGAGTATGACATCTAACATATATACAGGGTGACTGGTGAATTACTATCAATATTTGAGGACGTGATATTTGACGATCATATATGACAAAATAAAAATTAATATAACATAAATATTAATAAACTACTAAGTAAAGTTAACCAAAAGTTATGTAATTAATTACGCATCGTGTGAGCACCCTACAGATTAGGTATACACTGACACTCACACATACGCATGTCGTGACGTAGTGTTGTATCAGCACGCCGCCGCACGCGTCCACACTTTAACACTTGGAACGTGTCAACACTTTATTTATTTATACGGAAATTTTGTCAAAAATTAAGTGCCTATTTTTTTTACATAATTCGAATGAGAATCATGTACCGAGTATTCTCCTTAAACATTGATAGTAATTCACCAGTCACCCTGTATATGGACTTAAATTAGAAGAAGTTGTCATTATTTAAATTTCTAACACTTTCAATTTACAGAAATATAATAATACAGAGTATATTCAGCATTATCTTACAATTCCTCTTTAACCTACCAACAGGCCGTAGAACTCGAGCTGGACACATACGCGGCGATCATAGCGGAAATGGGTCACGTGGCGCAATCCATGGCTTCCGGTGGTCATCCTGAGGGTGGCAGTCTGGCTAGGCTGCAGAGACTTGCAGCGAGCAGGCAGGCCGCGCTCATGGAGAGTGTGTGCAGGTGAGAGATACTATATATATATATATATGTAAGATCTAATTTACATAATCCACAACTCAAATACAATTCATATATTCCAGCGAGTCCTGGCAGCGTCTGGTAGAAAAGATCCAGTCCCGCAACCAGCGCCTGGCTGCTGCTGGCGAGATCCATCGCGACGCCGGGGACCTGCTGGCGCGGGCCCGGGAGCGCCGGACCCGCCTCGCCCCGCCCCCCGCGCCCCGCGACCTGCGCGCCGCCACCGCCCTCTTGAGGGACCACGACGCAGCCGAGAACGATATGGTCGCTATAGACGCGCAGACTTGAGAAAATTATGACTTTAAACATATTATGTATTTTAAATTAAAACTTCGACAATCATAATAAATGTATCACTAGGTAGTTTAACATATTCTTACAATAAATTTTGCTTTAAATATAAAATTTAAAATATACACCCTCGAAGCAACAATAATTGTGTACAAAATAGTGATAAGAAATGCAAACTAATAGACACAGAGTAACTATTAAGATTGACTTATAATGAAATCTAAGATTTTGGCGAGTATTCATTTAAATAAGGGGTTCCCAACCTTTTTTTAGTTCCGGACCACTTTTATATTATTCTTGTTAGCAGGGACCACTATGTAAGTATAATAAAAATAAACTGTAATAATCAAACTGAAACTTTAATTAACAAATCAATAGGATATAACAAAACAAGAAATAATAATATTTTTAGGATAAACTTCTGCAATTTTGTATTAATGTGATTTCTGAGCTTGCATTTTCTTCATGAGTTCGGCTATCCTAGGACTAATATTGTTACTCAAAGCTTACTTCACTTACTTTCAAACGAATCCTCGCTTTGTTTTTAATTACCAATAAAGCAGAAAATCCTTGTTCACATAAATAAGTTGTTGAAAAAATCATAAAATAGCGCAAGGCCATTTCTCGAAGTTTAACATAAGAAATTGCTTTTTTACACCAAAACGACTCAAGACCCACCGCCCGCTAAATTTAAAATCATTTGCGGACCATATTTTGGCTTCTGTGGACCATTGGTGGTCCACGGACCACTGGTTGGGAACCATTGATTTAAATGAAACTAATATTTCTTGGATGAACGTTTTGATAAAAAAATACATATTTCCGACGTTTCGTTTACTTTACAGAATCATGATCACGGGCAGACGCTATGATAAATATTAGTTTCATTTAAATTAATACTTGTCAAAATCTATTTCATAATATCATAGCTCCTCACTTAATGTAGCCTAATTCTGCCTAAATAAGATTTTAACTGATTTTTGCAGTATTTTATAGTTGTAGTAATATACTTCCTGGCCCAGGCAAGTACCAATGGGATTTTTCCGAGTCATATGTACTTTCTGAGAATATTTACACATCACTGATTAATGCATTCCCAAAGAGGGTTGATGTCAGGCAGGCGGCCGGTCGTAAAAACAATTAGCCAAAACTATTCACAACATGTAAGGTAGACCCTGGCTAAAGCTGCTAAGTTGCCAGGTAGAAGAGAGAGTTGTAGTGATATTAAATCTATTTCCAGGTGCTCCAGGAGGAAGGATCTCGCCTCCAGCGGTTACGCCCCGGCGGTAACTCCCAGCAGATAGCGCTGAGCTGCAGGTCTTAGGAGGAAACTGCTGCACCAACTCCTGGAATTACAGAGCTTCCTATCCGAGGTATTACTGTGGGATTTCACTATTATACAAAACCTTTATGATCTGATAGTGTTTTAATATATTGCTACATTTGATTAATCTATCTAATTTATATATATTTTCTTTATATACTAATTAATTATTAACGATTTTACGCCTATAAATAATGTATCCTTTATGATATTTTATTTCCATTAAGACATTATTATCACTTATATGAGAATTACACTTATAACAAAAACATTTATGAATATACAGTTCGACATCGCACTTGTAACAAATATTAAATGAAATAACGTTTAATTAAGAGATATTTTTCTATATTAAGTACTAATTTAATGGTTGTCTTGGTTTTGATTATTTATTATTTAATATATACTATCTGCCCCGCAAACGTTGTTTTGTCATATCAAAAGTAGGGGTTGGTGATAAAAAAATAATATTTAGGATTTTATGTATTTTCTTATGCCACTTGATAAAAAAATAAAAACAAAACCATTCGTCCAAATCAAAACAAAAATTAGGGATGAACAGCCCCTATCACTTAGGGGAAGGAAAAATAGATGTTGGCCGATTCTCAGACCTACTCAATATGCTTACAAAATTTTCCGAGAATCGGTCAAGCCGTTTCAGAGGAGTACGGGAACGAACATTGTGACACGAGAATGTTATATATAAGATATATATATCATGAATATCGTTTCCCAGCTCCGTGACGTCATCTCGTGGTCGTCATCCCCAGCTGCCGCACGCTCAGCAGCAGCGGCACGGGCTCAGAGGGCTCAGAGGTTACTACACCCTGGAACAATATTATACTATGAAAAACATGTTAGCAATACTATGTGGGATTAAAAGTAATATTCTTTGTATTTAATAAGTGTTTATAGTAATTTTTTATAACTTAAATTTTTCAGTTAGAGTTTTACAGTTTCTTTCAATACGTTCGTTCGTTTGATTCGTTTTTTTGAATCATTCGAATATAAGTTATAGCATGGCTTAAGTGTTTTTCATAATGAATATAAAACAAATTTAAAAGACTGCTGTAATCACAATTCAAATAAATAAATTAAAGATTAACCCTTAAAGATACCAAATATGTATGATATATCCGTTCTATGTATATTAACAAAAATGTGATGATAACTTTGTCTTAGCTAATTGGCTGTATTTTTGTCCAATAGAACTGCAAAACCTATTTTTATGAAATAGATTACGTTAGATATCACTTGAACCTATGTGTTTTTAGTGTGACTTCTGACCTCACGATATATTTGTATATTAATCTTTGTATTAAGTATTCTCACTTTTGTCTTTGTTCAAAATAATTTTTGATGACAGTTTGATCAGTAAATAAAAATCATTTAATCTTAAGTATTGTTGTTTGTTGGTTCTGAAAGAAAAATACCTTTCGACAATGTCTAATATATTCTAAAGATTTCTTGCCTTCCAAGGTTCGTTATTTGGTTTCGTTTCGTTACATGGGAAACACCTGAAAAGGGAATAAAATTTAAGAGCAGTAAAAAATCTGGTAAATTACTCAACTGCAATCAATTTCAAAGTTAAAGAAAAAGGTATTGTAAAGCTGGCATAATAAAACTATGAACTATTTAAATCACTTTGATGATAAATTACAGACAGCTTTAATCGAACTTGTTTGAAATTTTCAGCTTTGATATGACGACCTAGCAAATAATAGTCTCACAGAATTAAAACATTATCAAATAAAAACTGTTTTTATGAATTATATGTGAGAGTTCCGTCATTAAAGTCACTTTAGAGACGTCGTTGTGTAAACGATGTCACATTACTTTAAATATTTCACGAGTGACAAACAGATGTAAGCTATTTCATATCTCAACAACACTACCTACACTGGAAAACCAATTAAAATTAATTTCCTCATACTCGTATACCTACTACTAAAGTGATATCAGAACTTCCAATAACACATTTCACGAAGGAAATATTTTAAATACAAACACATATTTAAACTGTGATTGTTTATATTACGAGTAGCTACTCAAGCTACTTACAGCTGTAAGTAAGAGGGAGACGATGGAATAATAATCACTGACGTGTTCTATAAATTTGGTTTTAGTTTCTTTAAAATTTTCCTTTTAAAATCAAACAATACATTTTTTTTTCTTTGCTGTGTAATATTTGAACCATGAATATAAAGTTCAACACAAAAAAAATAAATAACGCAATCTTCGTCATCCGCCCTGAAAGTTTAATGATCATGTAACATATCTGTAAGAACTTCAGCAGAAAACAGAACATTTCATAAACCACCTTATGTATTATAATTTTATTGCTATTCGTTAGTGTCACCAAACTTTGACAACGGCTGAAACGATTGGAATGTTTAAAAGGTCAATTAATATGAAAATACTTTCGTTTTCACTTTGAAGTGATTAGAAATCAACTTAAAAGAATATTTTAAAATGAATAACTAATAAGAATTTTTTATATCTTTCTAACTACGTAATCATCTTCATTAGGTTAAAAATAAACGTATTTTTTTACTACTTACATTTGGTAGCACAATCATATTAACTTAGTATCAGATTGTTTATATTTCAGTAGAACAATTTTAAATTTCTGGACGCAAACATAATATTTGACGTTTGACAAGCACCTAATTTGTCGATCCATCCTCTATGTCAATTATAATTATAATTGATAATTATCAATCGATACTTGAGACAAATAGTTCATTACCGGTGATAGTGACATTTGAAGTTATGTACTGTTTTTTTTTTGTTGTTCGTTAGATTTGAATAAAAAGTAACTAAGTATTATCCATACCTCCACACATACAAACTTTCGCTTTTATAACATTTGAGGATTCTGATGTTGAAGATGGTAAGTAAACGTTTGCATGTTCTATGGGTTTCATAATTTCGATTGGCATGGAAATGGTTTAATAGTCAAACCGCTGAAATATTAAAAAAAACCTTTTTTAGTCATACTCTGGACTGAAATTTATGAGGCAACTAATGACATTTAAATAAAACTAATATTTTGCGGATATACTAAGTGACTTTATTTTTGATTAAAACTACATACTCCCGACGCACTATGGAAGAGCCCCATACAAGGCCGTCTAAAAACCCTTTCACATGAAAGTCGTTGTTATGGAGTAAAACTAATTAATTATTTTAGTCTTATAAATAAGCTTTCTTTTATATAATTTTTAAATGTTTTTTTTGCAAACAGTATGTAATGTATGTATATAAAAAGCTATCAAAGCTAACTCATGTTCAATGATGTGATTTTGGCACAATACATTACTACAATTCAACGCCACATTACTCGAAAGTTTTTGATATAAATTTATAAGTATTACATAATTTTGAAATGCTTATAATCTCCTTATAACGTTTCTTAAATAATATTACGTATAATAAATAAATAAATTACAACTAACCAATATAGTTTAAGCTGGTATCATTTTCGGGTTCTTTTTTTTAACGACACCTAACCCTTTACCGCTGTCGAGGTATTTGTTGCTTTACAATCTTTATATATTAGTTTACATAAGTTGCGCCTACTTGCGCCTTTTCTGATACGGTGCCAAAACATATTTAAACATAATTTTATATATTTTTATTTTTTAAATAAATTAATAAACATAATTTTCAA